CAAATAGTAACTTTTTCTTTTCTAATACTAAATATTCTGAGTCAGACAGGAGTTTTGAAAAATGCTGGAAAATGGACAAGCAAAGACTGTAAGCTATTAAAAATACTGATTATATGAAGAACATATGAGGGTTTCCCTTTGTTTTTGTTTTTATTTTTATTTTCTTTTATTTTTTTATTGTAAAGTGAACAAAGACTACACTCATGAGAATCCAGAGTGGAGCAAAGGTTCCAACCAGCGGGAGCAGGAACAAATAAAAGCAAATGTAACCATAGAAACCTTAGTCAGTTAAATAACCTGCTGCTGTCATTTTGAGCATCTCCGATGTTGCTGCTATTTTCAAATATCAATTACTGTAAAAATGTCCATAGCTCTATTATTATTTGGTTTCCCTTTCTTCTTTGTTACTGTTTTCATTTTATGACGACCCTTTGAGGCAGTTCAGGTATAAATAGCAGGTCTTATTTCTTTGATGGAGAGTAACATCACAAGATGTAGAAAGCATATTTAGGGTGTCACATAATTATACTGATATCTAATTCACCATTTCTACTTCTAGAAATAGGATAAAGACAAACAGAGGAACACTACTTACAATGATTTTATTTTACATAGATTTCCACACAGTCCAAAAGTAAATCAGTACAAAGATTAGTGTCTGGTAAAAATGCTGGCTGTTTCTTTAGGATATTAATACATTGCAGATAAAATGGTGTTATATTTTCTTTTATAATTGTTAAAACCTCATGTTCTAATGGTGAATTCAAATCAAAAGTGGAACCTGTGAAAAAAATCATAACTTTCTTATATCTTTGCTGGTCTGTCTTTTTGCACAGAGGTCCATACGGTTGGTGAGATGCTCCACTTAGCCATCAAATCTTATGGTTGTCAGTTTCACTTTAACATGCTGAGCTTTGATTTTACGGAACAAGTCTTTAGTTTGGGAAGCAGAACAAAGCCACCAATGTCCCTGGGTCCAGCAGATCCTTCACAGATGCTTCCAGTTCAGGGAGTCCAGGAGCTACAGGTGCATCATGGTTGGTCGCTGTGGGGATTAAGATAAGGTGAGTAAGATGAGACGTGTTCTGGAGCTGTGACAGGAGCAGCAGGGAAATCAGAGCGAGAAGAGAGAGAGAACCAGGACCGGGAGGAGGCGATCAGTCATGCTTATTTCTGGAATCGCAGGAAGAAAATGGAGAAGTTGATGCTTGCATGTATGTCATTCCGAAAAATATTTATGATGATGTAAAAACAGTCACATTAGTTTATTTTACATCTTCTTGTTGAAAACCAATGGAAAAATTGTCAAAATTTCATAAACTTTTGGTCGGTCTGGAGGCGTTTTGAGAAAAAGTATAAACCCTACAGCAATTCTAAATACATTGTGTGAAAACAGAGGCTCCAGTCTACAAAATGACCAAAATTTGTGTCTCTAGAGAGAAATATGCGGCTGTGACAGTGATTCAAAACTTCTGATCCTTTAAAAAACGATGGCTGCCTCTCTGAAAAACCAGTTATCATGCTCTAGATTGCAGGATTTTGGTCAAACTTTGTGGTACTTGAAGGCTGATTTTAGAAAAACTGTAGCAGTAATCAACATACTGTCTTCAGTTTTAGAAAGATGAAGGATTTATCAAAAAAAATTTAACTTTAAGCTGTTTTTGTAGGTAAGTGTATGGCCACACGGCAAAGGCTCAAAAATAGTGCATCTTCTTTCTCCCCTCTCCCCATTCATTCCTATGTGATTTTATGTGCGTTTTTTTTATTACGTCACCATGGTAACTCCAATCGCATATAAAAGTATTAGTACCCATCTCGAGACCGAGTCAGATGTTTTGATACCTATATTATGTGGGTGCGTCCTACAGTTCGGGCTGCATTACTGTTGACGGAAGAAGAATAGATAAATAAATGAATAAAGAGTCTGTTTTTTGGCAACAAAAAATGTCGACAAAAAATGGCTTCACAATGGCATTCTATGCTCCTTGCATTGCAATGCCAGGCAGCAATGATTTAACAGTCCTTCTAGGCTAATTAAAACCGCTTTTTTAACACCACCTACAACCTCTTAAAAGCATTGTCTGCTTCATTCTTAATCAGTATTATTTTCTCTATCTTCCATTTTTTTGAACCATGTTAATCTCCACTGCGCTCCTTCACCCTATGTTCCAGTCACATCTAGTCCCTTATTATTCCCCTGACTTAAATATAAACAGTTTAGATTTATCCACGACTGCAAATTTTGACTGTCTTATTTTATAGGAACAACAGTGCTCTCGCCCGGCTAGAGTGGCAACCTTTGCCTCTCCTCTCTTGAGCCACCCTCAACACTGGAAAAAATCGAAATCTAGATAGTTTTTTCTTAAAATAAGGTAATTTTGCCATTGACATTTTGCCAATAGAACAACACAATTTGCATTTAAGGTAAGAAAACACAATTGCATTGTTTTATTTCAAGTGCATATTATCTAATAATCTTAATTTAAGATTAGCAAACGATTGGCAAACGATTTTATTTACCTACTGAAATTAAGGGTGAATTCCTTAATTTAAGAAATCTTTAGTTATTTCTAGATCATTTTTCTAGTGTATAGTTGGGATAACAGAAATCCTTCACTCAGGGTGCTCAATTCGTGTTTGGTGTGAACTAACCTTCCGAATTCTAGGCCAAAGCTCCTCCATAATGTAGAAACAGATACACTTTGACTCGGATAAACTACTGGCTAGTGGCGGATCTACATGTAGAACATTTTACATTGAGGGGAGAATAAGAGGTCTACAATATCTAAGCATGGAGGTGAAGCTGAACCTCTTCATCCAAAGATTTTAGAAATCTCTATATGTAAATGTAATCAACGTAAAAATAAACTAAAAACGCTTTTTGTTCCCAAAAAAAATAAACATAGAAGACAATCTCAGAAACAGAACTTTAATTACTAAACAGTAATTATTTTTTTATTTCTTCCCTTTTATGTGATAATTGTTATGCAATTGGAAAGACTGAAACGTGACTTTTTTTTTAAAGAGAAGTAAAGCTAGTCTAAGTTGTTATTGTCATACATTTGCCCCTGAAAAGTCTCCGACTTTGTTCAGGCTTCAGAAATGCTATGATGTGTATATATAGAGTCATGATATGAGCAACACCCAGAAAGGGAGAGATGGTTTGGTTATGAGCCAAGGGTCCTCTGCTAGTTTATTAAGCAAAATTACATAAAATGGAACCAAAACTCCTTTCTCAAAGTTTAATAAATCACAGACGATAATAAAAAACAAAAAATAATACTAACCACAAGATATCTTAGTTATAAATAGAGTTTAAAAAGGCATTTACAGTTCATTTAGATTATTATCACAAATATTCAGATATTTATAACCATTATATAATAACATTAGCTGAGAAATGCTGGTTTAGATAATGTTGCAAAAAATCTAGATCTTCCAAAATGAATTTCACTCCAGTTTATGACCCATGGTTAACAAACACTTTATTCTTGCTTCTGTTTGTCAGTAACATAAATTAGGAGGCGAGTTACCATTTCGTCCTTAGAGTAGATCTGTTAAAATCAAAGAAGGTTGGGAATCATAAGGATCTGCATAAGCTTGATGAAGCAGCTTCAAAACTTCTATGTGTTGTATCTATCAGAAATGATGTGATTAAGGAATAACAGTAACACCTGAAATGGTCATAAAGATCGAAAGATTAATGATCAAGTAGAAGAGGAAAGGCTGTGTGTTCCTTCCATTAGATAAAATACTGTAATTCAAATTGCTGAAGAAATTAGTGCTGGTTTTGATAAATAGTGTCAAAAGACACAAGGTAGTCAGAAAATTCTGAATTGATTCAGCAGAATCGAACTGAAATACATTTACACCTTATTTGCTCATATATATGAGAAAACTATTTGAGGACCTCCAGTCAGCGCTATAAAAACATGGAGCATATCCGCCAGATACCCTTCAGATGCTTTCATCTGCCTAGGCTCACCCTGGATGCCCCTGCAGACAAGTAAAAACATATACCATACATATATGGCCAGAGGGTTATTTTTCTTTCAGGCCAATGGTTTCAATTTGGGTTAAATTAGAATAGATACAAAATAAAAAAAAACATATGACTGCAACAGAGGATTTAAAAAAATCGTTTTGCTTTATCAACCCTTCCTGCTGAATGCTATGTCAGATAATTCCAAGTCTATTGTATTCCAAATACATCTCATCTAAATGGTAAAACATTCAAGGACATTCATAAAAATATAAAAAAAATTTTAAGGCGTTACAATTCTTTTTTTTTAAGTTGTAGGGAAGCAGCTGTTCCAACCATCGCATTTCCGAATTCTCCCGAGTGGTGCACAACTTCACACGAGTGAATATAGTGAATGTGATTGGTTGATTATCAAGGTGGTGGGATTGTTGTGGCGGAAGGTTTGCAAGTAAGTTTGGTTGTGGCCGGTTTGTCAGAAGCATCTTGTTAGCCAGTTTGCAACTTAGTGCTAGTAGGTTCCCAATGGGCAAGTAGCACTAAATTTGTGACTTAGCAACAATACTGTCAAGGAACGCTATGGACAGCGGAAACATGCAAGAGGAGGAGGGCTTTGAGTTGCATCTTGTGGAAGGGGACGCCAGGGCGGCAGAAGCTTGGTTTGGTGTAGAAGGCTTCCAGCCGAACATGTTTGAGCCCTTGCCTCGCAACGCTGCCAGTACTGTTAGCTCTACGCCTGCCGAAGACACAGACGTCCATCCCCGTGAACACTGGGACGCAGCTCAATGGGAAAGGAAAGGATTCTGATTTCAACCGTTGCATATATTAGCTGCTACATATGAATCAAGATGCTATGACCAAAAAATTTGATTGACAGATGACCGTTGATATATGATTGACCGAATTTAGGTGTTCAGGCTGACGTAGAACTAACTGGCCTGCAGAAGATAACGAAAAAAAAAATATATTAAGACAGGATCAAAATTTTCTTAATTTTGGAACAACATCGTCTGATATAGAGTAAATTTATATACACTTTTAATCAAGAATGATTTGACATGTAAATGTGACTTCCCTATGAGTTTAAGATTCAGTAATACAAAAGAGCACAACAGTAAGTTGCCTGATGGATGTTTTGGAAAAACAGGCCCAATCCATACAGGCCCTGCTGAAATTCATTACTCTAATTAAATACATGTCTTGAGAGTTCAGTAATGTCTTACCACCAAACAGGGGAAAAACATGGTTATAAGCAGGTGGTCATAAGGTTTTACCTCATCAGTGTAAAAGCATATGGTCTTCTAGTTATTGGTGCCAAGCTAAAATACAGAACAGGTTAGTTATATGATGGAAAACACATGCAGATGATGGGGTAGTGAGTAATAGCAATGTAGCGAAGGTTAGTCTCAATATCTTATGCATATTTTCTTAAATTCCAAACAATTAATTTATATTCAACAGATTTATGGTAAAACATATTAAGGAACAATATTCAGAGAAAGGCAGAGGTAGATATTCATAAAGACCAAAACTATCAGTCTCTGTTGGATTAGAAATCCGAACATTTCAGGTTAGGAATTAGGAAACATCTAGCAGGGAATTCTGAGGAAACTTGTCTTCTGGATTACTGGCCATCTTTGGTCCTGAACCTCATGATCTTAGACAACCTTTCACATGTAATGAGGTTACTGCCTACTGCCTCCAGTGCAAACATCCCCACACAGTCTCTTTTGAGGGAGTCAACAGCGATACAGTGAATGACTTCCTCCAAACATTTGAACGTATAACCAGTCAGTATTTCTGGCACATCATCAGACGTGGGGTCCTTTGTTGTAGTGTTGCCTGTGGCCGTAGTTCCGATAACACATCGATATATCGCAAACTCCTGGAAGTCCTGGGTTGCCCTGTTTGCCGGGGTCTCCTGGTATTCCAGGCTTCCCAGGAGTACCCTGGTTGCCTGGATAGCCAATTCCATCAAAGCCACGAGGACCCTGGATTCCTGCAGTATTGGGAAGAATAGAAACAAATTAGAGAAACGTAACAATAGAACTACTCCGCCTGAAATAAAGTTAGATAAGCACCAAAGATTTTACTGCCAAACAACAAGAACTCCTCCTGGAAGTAACTTAAAATGCCTCAAATCATTTCATTCAATATAGGTTCTCTACTGGAACCTCCACCAAACAAAGAACACATGATGTTGCTTAGGTTAGCTTTTGTTTATATGAAGTCTAGCCTTGGAAGTGAAACATATCTGCTAAGATGAAAAAGAAATTCAATTTTTCCTAAGCATAAGTGAGTTCTTTAATTTGTTCATTTAGAATTTAAGCATTGTTGGTATCAAACCTTAAAGGTGTACTCCACTCAATCAAATCATTTAATGTTTTAGGAAAATACTTCTCTAAAACACAAACAGCAAACACCAAAAAGCTTCCTATGCTAACAGTTATCATTTTTAAGGGTACCCTAAGTCTGCGTCTGATTGGTTGATCAGGCTCTAGTGATTTCTCCTTCTCCATATGCTTGTTCATCTGTGGCAAGCCTTGGTTTAGTAAAGAGAAGCTAGTGAATTCAACAACATGCCCAACAATTTTATTTTTCCCTGAATATCCAACATGTTTCTAAATCAAAGGTAGTAAGTTATTTCTTTAAAGGTGGTTATAATGGACAGAACTGATGGATCCATGTGAGTCAAAAACTTTGAATTGAACCTTTGTTTTCTTTTCTCCCGGAGATCCATTATAATATTCAAACCAGTATTTGGACAAAAATCCCCCCCCCCCCCCCCCCCCCGCAACATATAAAGTTTCTATCAAAAATATGTTGGATTTTAATCCTCCACAAATTTCATGATCATATTGGTTGCTACTTCTAATTTAGTTTGTTTTGTTTTTTGTCTAATCAAAGGGTATATACCGGAATTCATTGAAATTAATACATTTTAATACCTTTAACAACCTTACAACCGTCTTTGAATATTTCTTAAAAATCCTGTTTTTGTTTCAAGGCACTTATAAGTTGACCACGTATGCACACTGATAGATGTCGTTGATGTCACAGATCCTTCTCGCAGGTAAAGATATAAATCATAGACCAGATTAATTATTGTATTATACGGAGGTATGTATTTCACACAAATGGGGGATGAAAAAACAGCTGAGCAGTCATAAAAAATACTTTGTCAGACCCTGTTTATTACTTTTTAATGGCCTTGACTCTTGTGTATTTTATTTTATTACCTTAAACCTTTTACATCCCTGGGGACACCCTGTACAGATGTACTAATACAGATAGCTCCATTAAAAGGTGTACAAAGTTAACCTTTAAAACTTCTAGATAATGAGACTGAATGGTTTTTGAACTTTAATAACTCATACTCGTCATCTCCCTCTTCATCGGGGAATGGGTCGTGGGGCATTAGTCTGAGGAGAGACTCCCAGACTTCGCTCTCCACAAGATGCGCTTCCAGGCCAGCACAGAGATATTATAGACCCATTATAGAAATTAAGCCTAGGCAGAAGTTCACCTGAAGAAAATTATTGTTCGCCTACATTCACCTACGACACAGCCAATCAGCTTTGAACCACACCTCCACGAAAGCCAATCGGCATCCAAAATTCATCTTTAAAAGCCTCCGATCCACAACTCATCTGCGCTATCTGACTTCAGATCCCCTCCTCCACCATCGTAGCCAAAGTTTCATTCCTCCCGGACTCTTACTGCATGCAGTCCCACAGAGACCATGTTGAGCCTGAGGTTTCTTCCTCAAGGGTCTTGCTCAGGGAGCACGGGTGACAGTCTGCACGAGTGGGGGATCGAACTCATAACCTCAGGATTCAAAGCCACTAGACCATTACTCCCCACTGTGGCTTCATGCTTGCTCATCATGGACAGGTTCTCTCAACCTGTGTTATCCCATCTTCCAGGTCCCTGAGTGAAGCTCTAGTATCAGCTCATGCAGTCCACTGGATCTCCCCAAAGAGCTCAGCAGACCGTCTCTCTAACCAGCAGTCTACAGACTGACCAAACTTATCTATCTCCACTCCACCACCAGTTTCAGGCCTGGGGGGAAAACTTTGCTTCTGTTCATGCATTCCTGCTGAGGTCTGAGCACCAAAGACAAAGTAATTGTATCAATAAATTTCTTCTAATTGTCTTTTGTCTTTGTGAGTTTTTCAGATTGAACTCAATGCAGTCATAAGGTTTTCAGAAAGCATTCTCCTGAAAGGTCTCCTAAAGTTCCAACGTCTGTAAAAATGGATAACTAAAATACACAACAGACACAATGCATTTGATAAATTTGTTAGAAATAAAAGTTACTCAATCCTTAAACTGATATGTTAAAATTGATTTAAGCTCTAAAACCCCAGAAAATTCCTGTGCTTTATAAAGCAGGATGACAGCATACATACCTGGCTGCCCAGGAGGTCCTGGAGGACCTCTATAACCATCTCCTTTGCTGCCTTTTAGACCTCTTTCTCCGCTGTCTCCTGTGAACATAAACATTGTTTAAAACGTTTATAATTTCAGTTCAACATGTTTTCTAAAGCAGGTAAGAGATTTAATGTTCACACCTTTGAAAAAACTCATGTTTAATTTTAAGTTTTTCGAGAAAGTGAGGCTGTCAGTAATTCTTTTGTCCAACAAAATCAGGAACATGTAACAATTTCACTTGATATCAATACGATATGATTAACAACATTTTTTAAAAGATGGGAATGACCAAAATCTGAATAGCTGATACAGATTTAAGGGGGAAATACGGAAACAACAACTTAAAAACAACAGAAAATCTAGTTGCATTATCAGAACTTTCAGAAATAAATTATCTTTATTATTTATTACATAGAATATTCGAAAAGAAGCAAGAGAACAACTGGAAGTTTCTAATAGTTATTTTACCCTGTTGGAATGAGGAATATGCACAGATGAGCTAAATCTGTCCTATTTGTAGGTTCTCGTTTCAGTTTAAAAACATGTCATATCAAACCTTTGATGCCTGCGGGACCCTGCATTCCAGGGGGTCCAGGGTAGCCTGGAGCACCACTTCTTCCGGGGTATCCTGGAGCTCCCATAGACCCTTTTGGACCTGGTGCTCCTGGCTCACCTGGTGGTCCCTTCACGGTTTGGCAGGATTCACAGCTTGCTTGGAGGGAAAGGCTTTGGAGCATTGCTGGGAGTTGGTCTGAAGGGTACATCAAGAATAAGATAATTTATTTTGGTATCAGGTGTTACTTTAATATGATGAGGGTATATTCAAAACAAAAAAGTTATAGAAAAGCATGGAAACAGAATTTTTGGAAAGTTGGTTGTTTCAAAAAGGCCCAGTAGATGATGAATCAGTTGGTATTTCCATTCAGGTTTGCAAACTGCTGAGTCATTTAGAATTGACCCCTTGGTTAAATCAACCACCCATTGACATACCTGACCATTTGGTCACATAAAATGATAAAAGCATTCCTATAGCTTAGAATGAGAAGTTTATAAATACACACTGGTGGTGCAACGAATGGAAAACACCATGTTGTGTTGCCACCTTTGATTACAGTAGCTGAAAGGGGACAAATTTGTTGACCTGTTTATGAACTTGTATTGTCTGTGGAGGAGCAGGAGTATGAAATGAGGAAAGACAACAGGGTTTATCGGTCTACTTGCCCCTTTCTGACCATCTTTGCTCTTTGTAACAGAGCACTGATGATGTCAGCATAACTTAAAAATGACGACGTCTCAAAAACAAAAAAGGTATAAACAAAAGATCTATGGCATAAATATGCACTGATAAAGCACTAAAAAGTAGACCACTGTGGTTCAATTAGAAGACTAATTGGAGGGGATGGTTGACCTCTGGATGACCTAGAAAATAATCTTTAATATCTCTGAAAAAAAAGTAGCAAAAATGATCATTTTACTGCACAAATCTGCACTAATTAAGCACCCACCATTTCGTCTCTTTGGAGACTTTTGTCCTATGGGTGGGGTGTCAGCTCCACACAGCTTAGTTAGTGTGGTGTCTTACTGTGATGTGCGGTGGTTATTTTGCTTTTTACAAGGCCTTTTGCCGTACTTCTTGACTGACCAGATGTTCCCTATGTCTTTCACTGATTTTTTGGCTCTACTATCAAATTAGCCATTTGTATTTAGCCCATTACCTGTTAAATGTAAATAAGGCTTCTTCAAGATGGCCTCTGGCTAAACAAAAGAATGGAAGCTGATTTTTATGTCACCAAAGGGTAGCAAGTATGTAGTGCAGGGCACTGATAGCAAAAGAAGTCTCCCTATGAGTGTCGGCCAGTAATGGAGCCATGGACGTATTCTCCATCCAACACTCTACCATCAGAGTTAGGGTGGGGAGTTCGATTTGTCTTTTCAAAGGTAGATAAACAGAATTAAAACCATACATACTGCGGAAAACATCGGTACACAGCTTAAGAAGATGTTCATCTGAAGGAGTCTTGCCCTGAAACAAACATGTATACCATAGGTCAAGTTACAAAGACAGAAAATTAAACACAATTTCATCTTGTTTGTAATTATTTCTCTATATTAACAGGAACCTCTTGACACACACACAAAACAGAACTTTCTCTCTAACATCATTCAGCCTTTATTCTGATTGCATCTTTAAGCTCCTTCCATCAAAATTAAACTTGGGGACTCTAGAGAGTTTCTGTTTACCGGTTTTCCAGGGTATCCAGGTTGGCCCGGCTGACCTGGCAGTCCATCTTGGCCAGGAAAGCCCCGGGGACCGACAATGCCCAAATGGCCCGTATCACCCTTCTTTCCTTCAGGCCCCCTTGGCCCACTTTCACCTCTCACTCCTCTCTGGAGGGAAATAAAGGGCAGTAGAAAATGGCATTGTGATTTTTGTATTATAATAACTGACCTGAGAAGAAATCTTTCTTTGGTAAATATACTCCTTAGATGGAAACTAGAACAGTGTCTTATATACAGTAATTACAGTAACAATTCGTGTATGTATTCATATTGATTTTATTGGAATTTTATGTATAAATTAACACAAAGTAGCATAAGCTGATGTGGAAAAAAAAACAGTTCCTGGATATGCCATTAAGAGACACTGCAAATTGGTTAGTATTAAAGTTACAGAGAGTTAATGCAGGGTTGGGTAATCACAATGGAGCCGCTGCAGGACTCAAGAAGCTCCAGAGATCCACAGCTAAGAAGAATCTGTTGGCAGGTATACTGTGAATCGGGTCTTTGTGGAAGAGAGTTGACACTGAACATGATTTTCAAGCAAATTATTCTCATGAAGAGGGCGGCTTAATAACATTGCCAGGCCAAAGGCGCCACTACACCTGTAAAGTATGCCAAGCAAAATTGAAAAATCTGAAACTTTTGTGCTTTTTCACAATACCCTGGCTGTATTGTAGGGTGAAGAAGGCCAGCAACAATTATTTTTTTCAATCAAAATGGAAGATGGAGAAAATAACAACAAAGGATGAAGCAAGGAAAGGTTTGTTGGTGGGTTCTAAAAAAGTTGTTTTAATTAAGCCCAAGAGGAACTGTTCATCTCTCAGGCTGATTAGGATTTACCACTGTCCTCCTTCGATATACCGCTATCTGATTCTAAAGTTATTTCTGGCCAGCCTCCACCTCTCCACTGCTCTTGCACTCTCTCTGCCCATTAAGCTTTTCTGATTTTCCACTGTGGTTCCTTAGCTCCGTATGAGGACAGCATCGTCCTGGTTCCCTCCTGAGGTTCTAGCTCTGATTTCCCTGCTGCTGCTGTCTGAGCTCCAGAATGCCGCCTAACCTCACCTCAACCTCCATGAAAAACCATAGCTAAATAAAGCATTGCAACTCACTTTGTAAGATGTTTGAGATCTTGAGATGTTAAAGTGACACTCAAACCAACAGATTCATTGATGTAGTAAAGCCTTTCATCTACTGTGCGAATTTCAGTCGTTCACCAGACAATTTGCTGGCGAAATTTAAGGTGAGCAAAAGCATGTGAAACTGGCAATTTTTTTTTATATTACATATAGTGTAAAGAAACATAAACATGGAAAAGTGGCTATTGGTCTGTGCTTATATAGCGCCTTTTTAAATGAGATGGCAGCGAATGACTGAATTATAGCCACAGCAATACACTGACATAAGCAAGGCTGCCATACACTGCGACCATCTGACCACCATGAGTCAGCAATGCAGGTTAAGTAGAAGAAAGACTCATGAGGACCCATGAGACTCTCAAAAATGGTAAATGGCGTGTACCTAGTGCTTTTTCAAGTCAGAAGACTCGACCAAAGGGTTTTACTCTACGTTCAGCCATTCACACACACACACTGATGCTGCGAGCTATGCTGTAGCTACAATTGCCCCGTGGCTCACTGCCAGAAGCAACGATGAAAAGTCTTTTGAAAAGGCTGAAAGCCGAAGACAAAAACTTGAACCAGCAACCCTCTGGTTGGAAGGCCATTTCCTGCATCCAAGGCTACTGTCACCCCATACATTTTTCCTAGGTGGTCAAAATGTCCTACCCTCATTTCAAATGGCATGCCCAGTCAGAAAAAAACACAATCTGTGTGGTTGCACAGGTCCCGCAGCCTTTGTGAAAGCATGAGCTTCTAAAGCATCAAGGCTGTGGTATATTTCCTACTGAGTTCATCAGTAAGACAGAATAGAAGTCTAACAAACCTCTCCTTTCAGTCCCCTGGGTCCGACTTCGCCCTGCCAGGAAAAAAAAGAAGATTTAAGAGGAAGATTACAGGGATTGATAAAGTTAATTTCTAACTGTTGAAATTGTTGAGCCTGTAGTTCAAAGATTTCATGTGTTCATCAAAGGGGAGTTTGAAGCAACAGAGGAGTTTAGTTGCGGCTGCTAAGTTGATGGATGCATGAGTAAACATCCTTTTTTTATGCTGATAACAGTAAAAACAATCCTATTCCTATACTCTCCAGTCTAGGTAAGGGCAATGTTGTAAATAGATAATCCCTTACTAAAATACTGCGTCCCTGTTTGTGTTTTTGGTAACAGAATGTTGTTTTTCCTGATAGAAGGCTCTGAGGAAGATTGACTAGAACTTAGGTTTGCTGTAGATCGTTTTATTTAATTAATATTAGTTGGTCCTCATCCATGCTGATCTGGCTTTCTGATAGTTCCTTGGTACTGCCAGTAGGTGGCGCCTTGTTTGTTCGTGTCTTCTTATCTTGCTTAGTGCTGGAATTCTATTTAGGCTCAAAAAACAACTAACTCAACACTATCATAATGAACACTCTGAATATATAACCTTATTTCATCAGGATAAAATAATTTCAAATTGCATTTGGAAACTTTTTTTATTATTAAATCTGTTTTCTTTAATTGGAGTAATCTTTCTTGTGTTTTGGCTGTACATGGGTAGAACATCTTTTCCTTAATCATTCAATCCAATTAAAAGGGGCTTCAATCAAAGAAAAAAAAATGTAAATAAAAAAGAAGTTAAAATAAAATATTGAAAGGAACGTTTATTTTGTTGTTAATTTTTAATTTGAAGTGAAAACAAAAGAAAACTGTTTCATTAAAAATGCGTTCAAATGAAAATTTTTAAATCTCAAATATATTTTTGCATTGAAAATCTTCTGTTGATTGAAGTGACTTTTTTTATTGATTTATTGTTTTTGCTTGAAGCAACTTATTTTTTTTATTGAATTATAAATACAGTAATGTCCTACCCATAATATGGCCAAAACAAAAAAACAAAATTACTTCAATTGAAAAGTTGCTTCAAACAAAAAACCCTCACTACTAAAAAAATAGAAAACATTTTCAAAGAAAAACATTGTTCAAATGTGTTTTTTTTTTTGCCTGTTATATTTTTGTATTCACAAACTTGTTTCTTTGATTGAAAAAAGTTTTTTTTGATTGAAGTTGTTTTTTTTATTGAAAATATTTTTGACTGAAACAAATAAAAAATAAAAAAAGGATATATCAACATTAAGGCTTTGAAAATATATAGGTTCTGCTGCCCTCTAGTGGAGGCACAGACACTCACAGGCACGCCGGGAGTCCCTGGTTCTCCATCTTCTCCTCGCTCCCCCTGCAAACAAACACATGATCGTTTGTCTTGTGTGCCATTTTATGTTGTGTGAGAAAAACAAAAAGCTCCTTATTACTCCCCGCAGCCATTAAGATAAAACTCCATGAGATGGGGAACAGGGATTAGGCCAAAAAATCCTTTATATGACATTTTATCTAATGAGTCTTTTTCCATCACACATACTGCACCTCTTTATTTAAATCTCAGTTCTAGAACTAAACTAGCTTTACAGAGGTGGACATGCAAAAGAAAGCGAACTTGACATTCTGTGTGAATTCACCTCAACAGCAATTTCTATGCATGAGTTAACCTGACAGTAGTTGTTTTTTGTTTTCTTTTTGTAAGAGTGATCTGGAGTACCCAGTGAAAGTCAAACCGTGAACAGGGAGAATCTAAAGACTGACAGCAGAAGATCCCAGGCCAGGATTCAATAGCACTGTTTTACCTGTGAGGCTGTAGAGCCTAGAGAGACCTTCTTTGGCTCTGGTTTACACAATCTAGGCTTTGTGAGGTTTTGATTGAGTTTAGAAAATGTTTTTGTAACTTTGCAACAGTGCAAACGATGCTAAACTACATTACATTAGCTAACTGTAGAATTTCCAAAATTAAACCCGTAATGTCACTGAAAAAGAAGCAACCTTTGGATAAACCATTTGAACAAGCTGATATTTAAATTATATTATTAGAAATCCAATTGGAAAATCTATATTTTAAATGTTTATTTAACTTAAAGATGAATTGTACATGTTATCTATTATTTCATTATTAAATACTGCTATTTAGAAATGTATTTTCAAATTTAATTTCTAAATGGATTTTAAAATCTGTTTTATAATTGGGGTTAAGGTATATTACTTTACAGTTTATTAAGCTTTTGCATATATAAAATGCCCTATTTGCAGCATTTATTTTTTGGGTTATTAAATAACAAATGGATAAACACAATCGTGAAGTTCAGCTGCTTCCTTTGATTCTCAAACTGCAAAGATGAAGTCATATCTTTCAATCAAAGTCCTTAAAAATGATTAAGGCTACTTAATAGCCTATTAAGGCTATTAAATGATTCTGGCTACTTCCTGTTTTTTTTTTTAGTAATCATTTCAAGAGTTTGGGTGCAGATGCAGGTTAAATTTCAGATGTGATCAGGGTTTTTTTTTTTTGTGCTCTAAATTTTAGGATGGTTTACCTTTTCAAGTAAACTGAGATTTTTAAATCTTTACTCAAGACCCGTTTCTATTATTTGGTGTTTGATTACCTTTTAAAATGATAGATTTGGAGTGTATTTAGTTTACTTTTAACCTAAATATATTTTCTTGTTCTGGTTTTCTTGGTTTATGTAATTGAATTGTCAACATTTTGGTAAATAATCTGTTATGTGATACTGAAATAAACTGGCATTTACATTAATAATGATATGAGACTGTGTGTATTCAAATGGTTCAAAACACTTAAAAACTCTTCCCACCATAAAGTTACACCCAGAAGATTTCTGTATGGAAACTATAGACCAGGAACTGCTATGATCATCTTAACATGGTGGAAGAATTCTGGTTTTGAAGAATAAACAGTTTCTTGCAAAAAAAAAAACAACAACCACAAGAAATGCCCCTAAAATGTATCAATTCAGATAAAAATATAAGTTCAGGTAACAAAAATTAATAAAACAAGTTGAATAAAAGAACCATAAAAGGATTGATTTATGTTTCTCTACCTGGTTTCCTTTAGAGCCAGTCTCTCCTCTCTCTCCCTTAAAAGACAAACAAAGTTAGACTCCAGGAAACTTAAATGAAAAACAGGACGGTAAACAGGACTCTATTAAAAGAGAGGCAGTAATGTCCTCTTACTGCGCAGCAATAAAGTAGAGTGAAAGACAAGTGTTTTTTAACATATACATATTAAGGTAAAGTTGTGAGAATTTCCAGAATACTTCATGGAGGCTTCCTAAAGCCTTTTGTAAATCAAGGCAGACATCCGTCTGATGCGTTGAATCTCACCTTATGACCTTTAAAGCCTGGTAGCCCTCTAGCACCCGGCTGGCCTGCAAAGCCCGGCTCCCCCACCAACCCCTGAAGAAGTCAAAAGTTACAGATCTTTATCAGAAAAGTCCTCTTCTTAGAATCAATCTGATATACAGGAAAAATCCTCCATAAAGTGTTTTGATCTGAGCCTGTAAAAAATAACTATCTATTAGGGATTATTATGTCCTTTAAACAGTGCTGTGGTGAAGACCATACAAACTGAGACTATGGAGTGAATTTTGTTCCATTATTGTTGCAAATAACATATTTCATAAATTGTAAAAATTTATAGGAAAAAAATGCAATCCAGAAATGAAACTTTGAAAAATCCTTTAATATAAGAAAAATGATTTGTGTCTACCTTTGCTGTTTTCTCAGATTTTGTTTTTTCTTATTATTTTGTTTTTAAATAAAGTTGGGAAGATGGGCTGTGTCACTCTAGGGACTTTAGATGATTCTTCTGAGCGATGTGTTTGGGATCATTATCCTCCAGAAGAACAAGCCATGTTAAATCTTCAATGCTTTCACCGATGGAAGGAGGATTTGGTTTAATATTTCACCATTCTGTTCACCGGGGCCTTTTCATTTCCCTCTATACTGAAAAGTCTTCCTGTGCATTAAAATGGCTCCAATGCTTGATGCTTCCTCTCCCCTGTTTCACAACTAATCATGTTTGTTAGAAGAGCATTCCTCTTCCACCAAACATGATGAGTTGATTTATGCCTAAAATTTGGACTTTGGTTACTGATCACACAATTTTCTCCCAGTCCTCGTCTGGATCATCCATATGCCCCTCAGTAAACTTTAGAGACGCCAGGACAATTCCTGATGGTAGCCTTTGTTCTTTGGTCCCAGCTCTCTGCAGGTCATTCGCCTGCTCACTGCTCTCATGGTCATCAGACCTCACAGGATCAAATCTTCCATGGGGCCCCAGTTGGAAGGACGTTATCAATGATCTTGTATGTCTTTCATTTCCTTCCACTTGCTCCCACAGTTGGTTTATTCACATAATTTACAGATTATTCTTTAAAATCCCACAATGTAGGTAACTCGTATTGTAAATCATTCACTGCAATACCAGTTGTTCTTTAACTGCACATTAATATAGCTTTTTTCTTTATTGTATGTGATCTTTGGAAGAAAAAAAATGAAAAGGGCCCAAAGAGACCCTTTAGGTACCTCACATATTAGGCCCGCAGAAATGGACATAATGTGATCTAAAGACTTAATGACACTATATTCATATTTTCTAGTATTTTTTTTTGTAGTTATTTTTTAAACATTGTCATCCAGAGGACTTTAGCACTTTAGAGACTGAGGCAGAAGGTGGAAAGGATTTTGTTGACAGCTACTGAAGTTGGATTATCATACAGTTATGCCTTTATGTTGTGACACAGCTTTTTGCTTCAGCCACCATAAGGATTGTATTGTATAATTTAAGTTTCTTAATGATCCTGAAATCCTTTCAAAGTGAGTGAAGCAGGTCAGAGCAGACTGGGAGAAGGTAAACACTCCACAGTGTTCTTTCTCTGCTTGGAACATTATAATAAGGAAGTGTGTGTTTTTTCCCCTGATTAAAGGGTCCCTTGGTTGTTCATTAAAACATGGATGAATAGATACTTTTTGGCCCCGCTGTATGTCTAAGGGGACCTTTAGGACCATCATCTGCTGACTGAAAATTTCTCTAACAAAGCATCTCTATGTTTGCACAATATTACTTTCATCAATCTGTTTGTGATTTGTTTTAGAATAAATAAATGAATTAGGCGAATATTAAAACATGAGTTTCTTAAAAAGATACCAGTTGATGTTATCATTGGATTATGGTTCTAAATGTAAAAAAAAAACATTGTGAAATGTTTGTTTTTACCAACATTAAGTGACTTCAAAAACATTAAATACATTGAGACTGGTTACACCCAAAAGATAATCTTTACTCACTTTTAGTCCTGGAAGACCAGGGGGGCCGGCAACTCCTGGATCACCACACTTCCCCTTAAAAGCAAAGGAGAAAGATTCTTAACCTCATCCATACAGATCTGGATCATATGTTCAATCTGTGACCTTCTCAATGACCGGCACACTGGAAAATATGACCAACTAAGCATCATCATCTGTTTGTTTTTAGTGTTTTGTAACAACAGGCACCCTGGAATGAAATTGTGGGGATCGGACCGGGTACTTGCAACCTAAACACTACGACAACACTCCCCCACTGAGCCCATGGAACAGATCAACATGCAAGTTAGAGAGAATATAGGCTGAACTCCTTTATAATCGTATTGACTCTCAAACATGGATGCTGGAACTCTACGGCGTCTCCGTCTGCAAAGCTTGGCCATGTTTTAAGAAACCATTTTCATGTCCTTAGAATATAAGCATTTGAACAGTTTCTCTCTGAGTTTCAAAGCTCAAGAAGTAGAATCTAACAGTAATGTTAAAAAGCTGTTTCAGCCTGACTAAGATGAAGATCTTGCTAAAAAACCTTGCAGTGTCAAGTGTAATTAATTGTTTGTTGCTGTGTAACTCTATAAAGAATTCAGGGAAAAAATATTAAAAAAAACATGTTTGCCTCCATTAAAAGCTTTAAGTGTAATGAAAAATAAATGAAAGGGGTTTAACTTCAACATATATAAATTCCAAACAAAGTGAACCCCTCTAAGGAAGCTTTGTTAGTTATTAGTGGAATCAGTATCAGAAAAAGGGAGAAAACTGTCGCGCAGTTATTATGATAACTACTTATCACTGACCTTGGGTCCATCTTGACCGATCTCTCCAGGTGGACCCTGGGGTCCTTGGATTCCCTGGAAAAAGAGAGGGAACAGGTGAGGAAAGATTAGGGGAATAGGGAGAGAGAGGAAACATGTTGGCCGACTGAAATTCCACTGTCATCAGCATAGCATAAAATCTATCAGGAACAAGGAGCAGGCTTCAGGCGTGTTTAATACTATTGTCATTAACGGAAATTATGGGGGTTTAAATCCAAACTTGACTTTGTTTAAAATCAATGCCAATATCCTCTAATGAAATATCTTGATATTTGTCAAACCTGATTTTTTTTCCTCTACACTCGTATATTGCACCATCAGTAGTTTGCATAAAATAAAGTTGCACAAGTTTAAAAGGTCAATATTATTATTTTCTCAGTAATCTTTTCTTTAAAGCTGTTTGCAAAAGACTGATATCACACTGTCGTCAGCATAGGTAACACCTGTCAGGGACTGACAGTTTTTGCCTTTGGCTGCTCTCATTAAGAGTAATTTGTTAAATTATGATACTTTAAATGCAATGCAATCTCAGCTCCCCTCCACTAGTGTTGTGGGAAAAAAGTATTCAACTAATCACCCTAGTTAAATAAATGGAGATCGATGAATTTCACTCAGTCAGCACATTTATTCATATCTTTGCAAAGAGAGAACAGTCATCATACAGTCCTAATGGCAGCATTCTGCTCTGTTCTGCTAGAGCAGCGTTCGTTCCTCCTTACTTACAACAATGGAAAGTAGTCAGAGTCAAAACAAATTACACACACTTTGGTTAAACAGTAACATGTTTTGAATAAACCTTGAGAAAGAATCTGTTTTTTTATGGGAAGAAGCTATGTCTGGTTTACAAACACCAGCCTGCAGAGAATGGTGTGGCCTTGAAAGTGAAACAGAGTGAAAACTTTTATAGTGAGTAAATATGATAAATTAATATATAACAGAAGAGAAATAAAATATTTCTGACAACAACTAGTTAGAACAATAGAAGCCTCCTGGATGAGAGGAGAAATGTCTTCTGGAAAACTTAACGTCCAGTTGCCTAAACTGAACTTTTCAAGCTTGACCTGGATGACAGAATTTTCACAGATATGTGTTTAGATACAAAATTGACCATTTAAAATTACTTATTACAGATGTATATTAACAGAACCAAAAATCTAACTGTAATAATTACTTGGCAATAACCAAGAAATCATAAACCATCATAGATATGTCATAACAGGACTTATTAACCTTTAAAAAGTTATTAAGATGTGTTAACTTTACATTACTCTGTCATGTGTGATTTCCTTAACTTTGGCTGTCATGAGACCACTTTAATTATTCAAAGTATGTAAAGTTAAACATGTAGAACTGGTTGTGAAGATGTCATTAATAGGTATAATGCTGAGAGATTGCTTTAAAGAGTCAGTAATTACCTTTCCTCAGTTTAAGGAGCACAAATAGGACAAGTTGCAGGATGCAAAACAGTTTTATAATATCAAATGCTTTAATGATAGGGTCTTTATCACAGTGTAAAGTGATATTAATGCATTCATATAGTCCCCACCAGGTAGGAAAAATTTGTACACACACACAGATTCTGCTTACCATCATGTCTTCTACATGCACACCCCTATATAGATAGGATTAACTTGCTCAGAGAAGTCAGAGCAGTGTTCAGGGTTCTACTGCCCTCTTGTGTTCAGACTTGAATGTTACAAATAAGCAACAGCAATTTGCAACCTTTTCAAATCTTGTTTTGCAGATTTCATTGTTGGCAACAACAATATAGGTCCATGCAGAGACCACTGAGACAAAAGGGGAAATCTGTTGAAAAGGGTTCAATTCTTTAAATTAAGATGTCCCCCACACACCCAAAAAAGAAGTGGCAAATTGAATCTATTTTTGAATATATTAATAGACCCCATGCTCATTAAGCATCTATCTAATTAAATCAGTTAGGATCAGTGTGAAGTTTGGGATTTGATTACTAATGAAGAGCTCATAGAAGTCAGAGTAGTGTTTGGCTCTCTGCTGCCATCTTGTGTTCAGGCTTGTATATTACAAGCTAATAAATTCCCCCCCCCCTGTGATTTTTTTTTTTTTTTTTTATTCAATCATTTAAAGCTTTTTACACACCTTTACTAGCAGAAGGGAAGATTTTTAAGGAAATGACAATAATAATCTGTTCATGTTTTGAATTCTAATTGTTTTCAATAAACAGAAATAAGACAAATATCTGATAACTTCTAAAAGAATGCTGAAAAAATATATATTTGTATTGTCATTTTGTTTACACATAGTATATACAACACAAAATAAAATAAAAATGTTGAAAAAGAAGTTACTACTGACCATGTTTCCTTTGAGACCAGGTGGCCCCTGAGGCCCAGGTAAGCCTTGTTCGCCCTAAGAGAAACACAGGGATTATATTAGGAACGTACAACCAACACGACCTCCACCAGAAGTTTAGATATTACCGGAGATCCCTGCAGGCCCACTTCACCAGGAGGTCCCTTAGAACCCTGTGGATGACAGAAATGAATGAAGTTCAGATCAAATGTGCTTCTTGTTGAGCTGTCTACTTTTAAGGCTTGGCTTAAAACTTTCCTTTTTGATAAAGCTTATAGTTAGAGTGGCTCAGGTTATCCTGAGCTATCTCTATAGTTGGTTTACAACCAATCAGACAACCACGCATATGATGCAAATACAAACTTTTCCTTTTGAAAGAAAATCCCTTATAGAGGTCAGGTGTTCAACCTTTAACAATATAAACTCTATAGCTCTTTGGTGACATAACAAATGGCATAAAAAAACATTTTAGATGCAGTTTTTAATGTTAGTGTTACAAAACAACACTTTTGCATTGTGGGCCCGCCTCCCACGACATGATTGGTCTGTTTTAGAGTAGTTCGCTAGGTACAAATTAAACGTAACTAGAGACACAGTGATGTCATGATGATGCTTCAGATTTGGCAGGTAAATGTAGCAGTGTTATGCGATCTCATGACAAAAAACAGCACTGTGTAGCTACTGTTAGCATGAGACTTTGAGAAGTAAATACATTTGATACATATCATGCTTTACAGAGTGCAAATAAAGTAGAATGCAAATGTTAGCTGAATATAAAACTAATGCTATTAGAACACAAAAAAGGTTTCAGTTAATTGAAGGTTAAAAGGTTAATAAGCAGTTTTTTTAAAGAGTCAAGGGAGTCATTTGCACGATTGCAGCTTTATAAAACCCCAATTTGAGCCAAAATTTAATCTATTTATGAAAAAAATAAAATAGTAATGATTCTGCCCTTTGTGGACTTCTTTTTTTTTTTTTTTTACAAACTTTGTTTATTTGGTTTTTAACAAGAATAGCATAGCCATACATTTACAATGTGATGCATATAAAACAAATCATACAATTCCCTTGAGTTATAAGAACAAAACAAAAAACACAACAAAACGACCTCCAATCACTCCCAGGCAATAAGAAAAAGTCATAAGAAAAAGGACACAAGCACACATACAAAAAAAAGTTTTGAAATAGATAAAAATTAAGATGCATTCTGCTACACCTAAAAAAAAATAAATAAATAAATAAATAAAAATAATAATTAAAAAAAATAATAAAAAGTACAGTTTGTGCCCAGGAAAGCAAATATGGAACCATAAGAAAAGGAAAATCCAAGAAAAAGGACACAGGATGAGCAGACAAATATATATACGAAGGATTAGACTGGGACAGAATCAAAATTAACTTGACCAACCAGTCGTCGTAATGGCTGCCAGATTTCTGCAAATTTGTCAGAGGAACCCCGTAGTGACATCCTAATTTTTTCAAGTTTAAGAAAATAAACAATATCCCTCAACCAAAGTATTAAAGAAGGAGGTTGTGGTGATTTCCATTTAAGAAGAATTATCCTCCTTGCAATAATGGTCATAAAGGACAAAGAATTTTACCCTTTGTGGACTTCTGTTTGTTTTTTTCAGTTACACTTTGATTTATGTCATTCTGTTCTGTTGGTCACTGGTTTCTTTTCCATTTTGTGTTATATTTAAGCAGTGTTGTATTTTTTGAGTTACTATCTGTTGCACCCTTGTGCAAGTCTCCTTTCCTCTAGCTCCCTGCTAGTTACTTTTATCCACACCTGCTCCCTATCAGCTGATTAGCCCATTCTTTGTTCTGTCCCCCATATATACACCTCCTGTGCAGTTCCTCATTGATGGATTTTCTTAATTGCTTTGCTCCTCATATGTGTATTGCATCTCCTGGTTTTGTGTTTCTTTTTTCCTTGTTACTGGATTTGTGTTGTTGCTACCTGCATTTAAATTAAATCTGCAAGAACTAATCTCTGCAACTGGGTCCTCAACTAACTTCTGACAAAAATGTCATTCTAAAACCTCGCTCTGCATCCTGAGGAGGACGAAATTTTACATTCCAACATTAAAAAAATTCCAAGATTGACAACAATAACATACTGTTTATGCAATATGTTATTTAAACTTTTCAAGCAACAGACAGAATTTACATTAGACTTCTTTAAGAACATTACATTCTGTCTGAGTCTAAGACAGTAAATCTTCAACTCAATGGAACAAACATGGAGACAGTTTTATGTTTTGTTACAAGGCAGTAAGAACCTAGACAATATATACAACAGTAAAAACTATACATCGCAATAAAACTAGCTGCCTGCTAACATCAGTCTGATTAGTGGGGGTGGTTTGGGTTTACATTCCTGGAAGAAACAAAATTAGATCCTATGTTAGGAAATATTTTGATTCTATTCATCAAAAGGGTGTGAGGAGCAAAAGACAAAAACAAGAGTTTTGCCTTTTGGATTTATTGGAAACGACTTTACTCCTAATCGTGATCCTTCTAGAGTTGATAAAGTCTGGGTTGATCATATGTATATCCGTTGCAATTGGACACAAGTTTATGTTGTAAAACCTAAAATTACTTTCAACTCACCGGGGCACCTTTCGGTCCAACGGCACCAACTGGTCCAACGTCACCTCTCTCACCCTGAGGAGACAGGAACAATGGCATTGTTACATTCCACCTCAAAGACATTGGTGTTCTCTTTTTCTTTGTTGTTAACCATTGCGTTAACATCACTCTGGGTGTATATATACATCCAGAATGAGGAAGTCGCTGGTCATCGACAAAAAACGAAATGTTATTTGTTACCTCTGTCCAGCTATGACTGGAAACCAATTAGGCTGGCTGTGTTTTTCTATGGTTTGGGATTTTTAGCTTTTCTTAGTCCACTCTACTTCCTACCTCAGACTTTTTAGACCATTTTACTCATAAATGTCAGAAAAAAAAAAGAGGCATAAGATAGAGCCTTGAGGAACTCCATGAGTGATTTTGTACTAGCTCAGACTTTTGTTTTAAACTGCAAACCTACCCTAGTTCCAGCTACAAGTTATTTGTGGTCTCTGTATTAAGTTTGCACATCCAGAGATGGAAGTTCTTACTCATCTTTTTTACCACACTCGTTAAGACCCAGCATCTGTGGACCTGACAGATAATAGATCTATTTGTTCTATTACTTATTTTTACTCTGTTCTGCCACAAGCAACAATATTAATTTTGGACACTGAGGACCAATGTGCATGCTAGTTTTCTTTGCAAACTCTTAAGGTGTGTTCACACCAAATACGACCTGGGAATCAAAAACGGTTAAATACTGACATTTCAACACGCGGTCAAACACAGGTCATGATGCTTTGATGCAGACATAAGTGGTGAAAAAGCAAATCCCTTTCTGAACAGCGTAAATGGGGATGAGGACGAGGAAAATCAAATATGGCTGGTTCTCAGCAAGTGATACACAGTGGAACATTAATGGCTCAGGATTTAGCAGGACAGAAATACAACAGACCAAGCTTAGTTCAGACGTCTTAACTGAAATAAGGTTGACTTGGAGTTGAATGATTTTTATTCATAAATTCTTATATTTTAAATGTGATCTGTGAATTTATTATTGTTAATGGTTTGATAATCCTAACACACAGCCAGTTTGGTGTGTGTTCACAGAACAACACATGACAGTTCGAAAGTTGGTCGATTAAATCATAAAGTTATAACAGAATTTAATTTCCTAACAGTTCAAAAACAAATAAATGCTTTGATCTACTTTTTTAAATTGTATGTTTATGCTCACTGACCAGGTAGGTTCCAATGTTGAGTCTTTTACAACCCTTTAAATATTGCATCAGAGTCACCAACAGTCAAACGTTTCTCCTGCATTTGCTGTGAATCTCTGCAACTCTACTTTAAAGCGGACGGTCATGCCTTGGGAGGTTTCTAGCTGTGCCAGTATCTTCTTTGCAGATGATGGACTTAGCATTCTTATTTTTAAAGCCATGTATAAATTTATTCCATTTCAGAACTATGCACTTTTTTGTGTCGCTCACATAAAATCTCAGTAAAACAATGTAATGTACAAAACAGCTCAAGGCAATTTAAGACATTTTCAACGTTCTGTTTTGTTCATTTCTAAACCACTATGACATTTACTCAAGCTATGTGCAAGCAGCATTTCAAGGTAGGGCTACCTGACATTTGCATTCCATGAATATAATCGTGCATTTTCTTCCTTCAAACCTCTGAAACACCTTCTGGTCATAGAGTAAAGAATACGAAACTGATCATATTATAAAACTTAAATAAAGAAGCTCATACTTTATCCATGCCATTAAGGTGATTCTACCTGAAATCCATTCTCTAGATTTGCCCAGAGAAAAAGTTTAGGGACTTTATGTTGGATTTTTTATGCCATGAGTTCATTTCTGGCAACAGTTTTTACAGCTCATGCAGTGAGTCCTGTGGTCAGAGCTCTCACAGGGAGCGGGTGGGCGGCTTGTTAAAAACCCCAAAACCGAGGCGACAAACAAACATGCTCAAACCCACAATACAACAATATTAATTCTTCAGCAAGAGCATCTTATACCGCTGATCTATATTTGCTGACTCTGTTATGACAGTTAATGGTACCCAAACTGGTTCCAGGGTGGACCACAGCAATACGCTGGTAATGAACTAGTAAAATAAGCTGTAAAATATATTCTGGAACAGGATTGGAATTCAGTCATAAATCCTTTCTCCTCTGGTTTCCTTTAATGTGATTCTGTCCAGTTTAACTACTTAATTTAGAATCTACCACATTTTGAGGATGAAGTAGCTCCTTTCTTTGTTCTGAGGTATTAAATTACACAATTTAATGAGTATATTTCTATGAACTTTGAATATTTAACATTTTTAAGAAAATGTATTTTATTAGCAAGGGATTGAGTTTTCTTATTTTTAAATAAAAAGTACTACTGAAGATCTATGTTCTTTTGAAGAGACAGCTTACTTTTGTGAGTTTTAACATGTTTCCAAATTAAGTCTTTAAAGGCTGGCATTCTATAACTTTTACATTTGTTCCTGGTCTAAATCAAAGGAATCACATGGCTTAATAAACATAAAATCCACGTCATGCTGTCAAGGGCTTAACCTAAACAGAGAAAAGGAATTTTAAGCCAAAGTGGAAGGGCATTGATGGTCGCCATGATAAGTGCTATCTGAATAGTACTGAGAGTCAGGAAGGAGATAGGAAAAGGAAGTAGAATGCTTCCTATTATAGTTATGATAATAACAAGCTTACTGGCTAAAAAACTTAAATAGGTGATTTCTTATCAAATTGCGAAGACACTGACATGTGGGTGATCAAATCATAGGGAATATTGCAGATAATTTAATAACTTTGCTATTAAATTATCATGCCAAGTGATCAATGCCCGCTCAAATACACAAATGTGTGTAGTGCACTTTGCAGCTTCTGGGGTGACATTCCGTTTTTTCAGCTTCACAGCAATGCAAAATGGTGCCACCATGAAAAAAAATACACGGTGAGTTTGCTTTTTTCAGAAAATGTACTAATTGTTGGCCAAAGTGAAATGTGGTGAAAATCTCAATGGGAGCAGGGTATAAAAATGATGGGGATGTATATAAAGATGTATCAACCCAGAATTTGGCTTTTTCATGTTTTTGAGGGTTAAAGTTTTCAGATACAGTCATAACACCTTACTAAGTACAACTTACAACTTTTCCCTCAGATGAAAGTAAAATAGATTGGCATGTGGTTCAACCTAAAAAGCTTCCCAGAAACAGTCCAAGTTCATAGTCTTTAGTTCCAACCTGGTGATCTCAAAGCATTATCACATCGTAATGTTCTAGTTATGCCCTGTGGTAACCCACCAACTGCAATCTGCTCAAGAAAACCACATAATGGCAGCCAGGAAGAAGCCTTATCAGATTCTAGCACCAGTTCAACTGGATCCTTCAGGCTTTAAAGAGCAGCAGCTCACCCCCATCCTTCCAGTAAAACATCTTCTCCTTGCAAAAACGTTGCATATCTTAGTCATTCATGATTGTCCCCAGCTGTTTATCTAAAAACCCAACCTTGGAAGAAACTACAGATGCAAAGAAAAGTTTATTATTAGTATTATTTCCCCGCTGATTGAAAACTTTGGCAAACTGCAAGAGAAGCACTTTGAAAGTAGGTCTTTTATAAGGTGTATAGTCATTCCTCCTAAACTTATTCAATTTTGTTAAATTACAGCCCTAAACTGTTTCAATAGTATTTTGACATCGAAACTATCAATTATATAGGAAAATGTTTAAATATTCCCTTTTGTATTTTTATTCAGCCCATTTTATTTTCTTATCGCAAAATCAAAAACAGAAATTTACTATTTACTTAAAAGTTACGCAAGTTTTCTTTTACACTGCAGAATTATATATTAGAGGGTTTTAAATGTTCGTATTGAGATTTTAAAGTACATTCAGGCCTAAATATGTCAAAAAATCTTAGGAAGTGAGAAAATTAATCAGGTTAACAGAAATTAGCTTCAAGGTGAATCTAAATCAGGGATTTCCAAACATTTCATATCCTGACAACCAAAAATTTAAATAAGACAAATTGGCAACTCCCTAAAAAAATACTATAATTACTTGACTCTACATTTAATTTTAACATATAAAATTGTCATGGTTTTGGTTCTGTTGAAGGTTTAACTCTGAGTTTTTATTGGTCTTGTTTCCATTCTTGTGTTCTAGTTATCTTTTATTATATTTTAGTTCTTAGCTATTTCCTGTTTGCTCTCTTGTTTCAGTTTCCTTCCTCCTAGCTCCCTTCCTGCCTCCTCTGTTCACACCTGCTCCCAATCTGCTAATTAGCCTGGTCTTTGTTTCTCTCTCCCATTTATTCTCCTCCTTTTGAGCCACTCTTTGGAGGTCTGTCATAATTTTTTTTCCCCCTTGCAAATATTCCAGGTTTTCAGTATTTTTGTGGATTCTGAGGATTTATGTTTATGGATTTTTGCTTCTGTTACCCTTTTTGTTATCAAACCTTCAAGTTAACATCTCAAGCTTTTGTGTCTGCATTTGGGTCCTCTCAAACCTCCACTGTGACTAAATGAAATAATTATATTTAATTTTAAATTAATACATTTTAAATTTATTTAAATGATCATTTAAAACATTTTTCATTATTTGATAAGACATTTAATTGTGAATTTACAATTACATGTCATATTTAATATGTGAATCATGTAATGGATCAGCAGTTCCCAAACATTTCAGTCTGTGACCAGCAGCCCCATTACATCACAATGGTTTTGAAAACCATATTACAACCCTCAACTTGGTTATCCCTACTTTGAAAACTCCTGCTCTAGAGCAGCGACTGCCAACCAGGGGTAATAGTACCCCTAGTGGTCCACCAATGCATTGCAGGGGGTATGTGAAAACATTTCATATTTTACTTCCTAGATAAAGAAATACAATAAAATCGGGATTGGGTGGGTTTTACTCTGTAAGGACTCAAATTTAAAATAAACCAAGATTTTATCAACCAAGAAGATAGAAAGTAAATGCCCTAATCAATATTTTCATGGAAGACTAGAGTGGGTATCGGTGCTGTGCACCTGCACTACTACCCTGAGAGTGAGAGTGGAGAGATGGGGGCAGAGACA